AAAACAACAACTACAAACAACAGCTATTTCCCGGGATTTCCCGGGAAAGGCGACGTCTTTTCCCGGGATTTGATACGTCTCATTTTCGGGAAAAATATTAAACCCTAGTCCCGCCCCCTCTAGCTCTATCGGAACTTACGTCAATCACATTTCCTGTTCAAATCTTCCTCTAAATGGGCGTAGCCTGGAGGACTAAAGGGGGCGTGAACGAGACTGGGCCGTTTATGTAGCTCTGGGCGGGGGGCTGCTGACGTCAGGTCTTGCTTCAGATGTCAGGTCTTGCTGCCGCGCCAGTGTTGGCGCCAGATTCAAAATTCAAATGTAGTAATACAGGTCGCCAGCAGAGGGCGCCTCACAGACGGCTTTAGGCAGAAAGTTTAACTTTCAACTAATTTGCACCAAAGTGACAAAATTATGACCAGGATATGTACACAACACTATTGGACACTCATTTAAATCGTTTATCAGCAAAAAAAGTGGATTTGAGGGTGAGTTGTCCTTTAAGATTTTTATATTTAAAGGCGCTATACCCGTTTCTGCAATGTTTGAATGTTTAGCACCGCCCCCCAACTCGCTCAATGGCTTCTCATTTCCCCTACGCTCTCATAACACAGAGCCACCTAGTTTTATTTGCGATCTGATACATATGCTAACATTAGCATTAGCGCAACTTCTTGTAAGCTGTACAACAATCACTGATGAAATGGTACTAAAGCAACGCACTGCTAACACAATATATAAGTAAAAGAATACCGCTAGTTTCGCATCCAAATGTATTCATTTAAAACCTTAGAATATATTCTAATATTTAATTATAATTTGTTATAGAGCTCCTCAAAGCAGCAGCAGCAATTCTTCCGATCATTTTTTCTTGATAACAGAACTCTCAAACCAATAATGACCGAAGCCCCAATGCAATCTCTGTTTGTAATTCAGGTGTGTAAAATACTGCCATTACTCTGCAAGTACAACAAGCTATCAGCACCTGTCACTACACACTTGTCTGTGTAGAGAAGCCAACGGAGCTAGCGGAGCTAGCCACGCTCAATAAACAACTACATATCAATCAATCAACACCATTAAACGTCAATCGGACAATACAGTACACATATACATCCTTAACACACATGCACGGATGATTTCAGAATTTGCTGTTACTGTTTTCATGACAAAAATACTGTTTCAAGGTGACAAAAAGCGATTGCGAAAAACCCGGAAGTTACCATGAAACAACTAGCTAGCTTAGGAGCTAACTATTTTATTTGCAGTCATTAAATACATTTCGAATTACAAGGGTTGTCTAATATTTGTTCAAATTTTTTTATTCAATTATTTTGTTCATCATTTTTTATTTGAGAATTATATTCGAATTTTGAAGTCGAAGCCCTGGTGTTGAGCAGCGCTGTAGAGGCTAGAGGACGCAGGCTGTTCGCTGCTCGTTCTGTGAGCGGAGGAGAAAGAGCGGCCCGCTCAGACTCTACTCAGCACTTTTCACTGCTTGTAATTCTTACACAGCTGAATCAATTACCTCAAGTTTTCAATAAAATGATGTATTATGATACAACTTGTATGTAGTAAAAAGCATTTTTATGAACTACTTAGAAAAAAAATCGGGTATAGCTTCTTTAACATTATCCTAAGTGACAAATATATTCCAGGATGTTTTTAAATAATGATTTTAAATTTCAGAACTAATTTTAGACTTATACATTTTAGAATTTTAGCCTTTTAGACATTTTAATATAAACTAAATTATGGCTTTAACATCTCCAGCCCGGTCTCCTCAACATCTTCGTCCGTCCTTACGTTGGATGTGTCGGACCGTCGTGGGCCCATTCCGTGCTGAGTGCAGCGTAGACTGAGTTAAACCGTTAGGTCCCACTCTGAGGGGGCCTTCGGTGACTTTCCGCCCTGGTTCAGGAGCTCTTGGGAGAGCATCCCTACAGGTGCGGTACTTGTGGATTTTTGTTTGTGATCCGGATCAGGGTAGTCCACGTCTGTGTCCCACTATCGAAGTCCCGACAGGGGACGTAGCACCATGACGGAGAATTAATAGTTACCTAATGTAACCTTAAGTGCTACGTATAGGTGCGTAGTCCCGTTAGCTTACGAGCCATCAGGCCAGCCCGGCTTGCAGAGTTCAATAGGGGTGCGGCTGTGTGCAGGGCGGCCTTATTAGAGGAGTGGCTGGTGATTGGAGCAAATTATTTTGATCTCTCTGGCTGTACCTGGGGTCACGAGCGATATCCCCACTAGCGAGTCCTAAGGGACTACGCACCTATTCGTAGAACTTAAGTACATAGGTAACTATTAAATACTTGCATTTTGCTAAAATGAATCATTAGCTACGGGTGGGTAACCATATTTTCGCTTTGCCGTGCTCTTCACGACAATAGTCTGATACAGTGACCGCATTACCACACATGCTGCACCAAATCCGTCGAAATCTCACTTCATGCCCATCTTCCCTCACTGAGAACAAGACCTAAAGACTGTACTCCTCCACTTGAGGAAGGAACACCTCAGAATCGAATCAAGCCACGTAAGCCAACACGCAACACGTAACAGGTCCATCTGTTTTTTTAACACACACAAAGAATAGTGAAATTCCACATCCTGTACAGCTTTTGGCAGCTGCATCAACTACAGTCATTGTTCTCAACTTTTTGCACCATGTACCACCTCAGAAAATACTTTCCTCTCCAAAAGTACCACCAAAAAAGAACCACACTATACAGTTGCGTAGTAACCTAAGTATGCGCATCAAGAACAAGGCAGAGGTTTTCATTCCTCAAGAAGTATATTAATATTGTGAGCCATTTAACATTTACTCATTTTCCAACATACAACTGGCATAAATATAGAGAAGAAAAAACTAAAAACTGTACTTCTAAAATGATTCAATTTAATTTTTCATCAGTACAAACTGTAAGCTTGACCCCACTTTGAAGAATAGCTCCTCGAGGGGATGGCCTTCTTGTCCATCCCAGAGGGTTTGGGACACGGTGCACTTTGATTATTAGGCTTGGTCTGCTGCCTCTTACATACATCGCCATTTACTCACACAAAGAATGTTGGTTCATATGTGTTTTGCGATCAATGAAGCTTTTTGTTGTTCTCTGTTTCCCTTTGCCCGCAAAAAAACAAACTGGGAAAAATATCTTTGTGTAATATTGTTACGACCCGGCTCGTAGGCCGTAACATAAACAGAAGGGGAAGAGACAACGGCCAATGTTCAGACCCTCGTAGGGGCATTACTTGCATACTAATATCAGAAATCAGAATCCTTTTTATTGCCGACGTAGTAACATGCAAGTCACAGACTTGGAAATTGCCTTCGGCTCAGTGCAACATCAGAGAGAAATAATAAAAAATAAAAATAAAGAATAAAAACCCTTCACAGGAATACATTTAAATGTAGGAATATAAGTTAACGTTACTATTTACCAATATACAAGTGCACATGGTGCACCAATGTTAAGGTACAGCAGTACATTGAAGTAAAGTGACGTAATGATGGGCAGTAAAGTGACTTTATAAAGGGCGGGGAACAGGTTAAGAAGTGTTCAAGAGTCCACAGCAGAGGGAAGAACTGTTCCTTGTGACGGGATGGTTCTAGTCACTCTGATGGACCGCAGTCTCCTGCCTAAGGGAGTGGTTGGAAATCCATGTGCAGGGTGAAGGGGGTCGGCTGTGATACGACCAGACCCGCCTCGATCTCGGAACTAACAGTAAGACCTGCAGCGATGGAAGGCTGCGGCCATTCACTTCCTCTGCAGAGCGCACACTGCGCAGTAGTCTCTGTTTGTCCCTGACTGTGGCTCCAGCGAACCACAACGGTGACGGAGGAGGTGAGGATTTGACTCGATATGGCGCGTGAGAACTGCACCCAACATCGGTGCATGCATCTTGGCTTTCCTGATCTGCTGCAGAAGTAACATCCTCTGCTGGGCCCTTCTTGATGAGTGGACTGGATGGTCAGCTCCCACTTGAGGTCCTGGGTGAAGGTGTGCCCAGGAACGAAGGGGAGAGTCCATCACGGAAGGGTGGGCGGGGGGACCATGCCTCTTACCTGAAGTCCACAATCATCTCCACTGTCTTCGGGCGTTGCAGCTCCAGTATGTTAACCCACTGCACCAGACACCAGCCGGTCCCACTCCTCCTGTAGGCGGACTCAACTTCTGGAGATGAAGTGCAATGAGGGAGTGTCATCCGGAACCTAGAGCACTTCACAGAGTCCGTGGCTGGAGGTGCAGTGTTGGTGGACAGGAAACAGAGCAGGTGAGAAAGAACACACCCTGTGGGGCGCCTGTATTTTATAATCAGAGAGTCCGAGACCTTCTTCACCCAGACGCACTCGCTGCTTCCTGTCTGTCAGGAATCCGGGATCCCCCTGCAGGTGGAAACGGCACGTTGAGCTGGGAGACTTGTCTGTAGCAGGATGGCAGAATCGAGTTGAAGCAAGCTTCAAAGTCACAACAGGACCCTGGCGTAAGGCCCCGGGAGTCCAGTGCAGTAGGAATTGGTGGAGGCCTGTTGATGGCGTTGTCTACAGATCTGTTTGCTCTGAAGGCGAACTGCAGGGGGGCCAGGAGGGGGAGGTGATGGACTCTGAGATGGGAGAGGACCAGGCGGTCAAATACTTCATGACGACGACGTAAGTGGCTACAGGTCTGTAGTCATTGAGTTCCTGTGATCCGGTTTCTTTCCTTCTTGGGTCGGGGGCAATGATGGAGGATTTGAAGCAGGCCGGGAGCATGCAGGACTGCAGAGAGGATTGAAAATGTCAGTGAACACAGAGATAGCTCACTCCGCGCAGTTGTTCTCAGGAGTGGCTGGAGACTCAGGTCCGGGCAAGGAGCTTGCGGGGTGCAGCCTCAGAAGAGTTTTTAATATCTCTGTTGCCGGGACTTGGCTGCGTTCAGTTTCGGTCCCTGAACTGAAATTTAGCTGCTTTGGTAGTCCGCTGCGGTCCCCCCTTTTCCACCTGAAGAGCCGACATGACATGGCAGCCAACCACCTTACAGGGCCACCTTTACCCGTCTAATACGCCCAGGACATTAGGCTCTCCACAACCCGTTCTGTCCCCGGTGTGGCTTAGGCAACGGTGGGTGGTGAGGATCCATCCTCTGCCAGTGTTATTCCTGCAAAGCTGGACACGCCGACCTGCTAAGTGATAGGCAAGAGGAAGAAGGAAGAACGCCCTACCGCAATGATTGCGCATCCACGATTAAACTGAACTTGAAACTGGACAGTGAAAATGTTCCAAAAAGTTGACATGACACAACTGTGTCCTCTCCTGCGCTTCGGCATCAAGATCAATAGTTTTGGTTTCAGAATGTTTTTTGCAAACCGTAACCGTAATATGTTGCTTGTAATGTTAATGTTATAATAGGACATAAAGCAATCACTTGATCACCAGCTGAAAGGATTGTAAGCTCAGGACAAACTGCCAAATGGCGACGCACTTGGCTTTTGGTACACCAGTTTCCCTCGAATACAGACGTTGCCTAAACCCGTTACCGTGATCCAACATTTTTCAGGCGGTTTCAGACTCTTAAACTCAGCAGCCACTAGCTTGCTTGGACAACCCCGGGACTTCAAGTGACCTCCCTCGCAGCCAACATCAACCAAGGCAGACCCTCCTCCCAGCGCCTTACCATCTCTATATCAGTAAGTATAGAGATCGTAACAATCCGCTGGATAGCTTTCACTTAAGTGTATTTCACGACCTAAGAAACAAATGAGAATTCAAGTTTTGCTTCCCCGTCCCAACTGAACTCTACCGGTCTCCGTAAAACAAAAACCAAGATGAACTGTGACAATACCTGCACCACCGAGTTAGCTTGTACAGAAATCAAAGGATACACAACAGGATGGCACTTGCTTTGACAACAGTCCGTAATCTGTAATTGTATGGTGACTTTTTATAGGACTCCCTTGAAAAGAGGTCCTTAATCTCAATGGGACTTTCCTGTTAAATAAAGTAAAAAAAATAATAAATATATATATAATATATCTATATATATATATATAGTTAGGCTGTCCAAATTATCGCAGTATAATTCAACGTAATTACCGGTTTCATTAACGCTTAAAAAAATACTTAACGCATTAACTGCCATTGACGTGGGGGGGGGGGGGGGGTCAACTCTTGTTGGTTTACCCAAAAGTAGAAGGTGTGAGCAAGTCAAACATACTTATAGCAGAGGCTCGGGAAGACCTGCGACACAGAAAACTAGGAACTCAAGAGCCAATGGAGAGTCCCAGAACAAAATTCAAATGTAGTGACAAACGGAAAACTATACTCATAGAGAGGGCGCCACACAGACGTTTAGGCTCAAAAGTGAGATATAACTATTTGATTAAAATGATCAGATATATGCCAGGACATGTACGGAGCACTATAGAAACATATTAGGCAGTGTATAAGTAAAAAAAAGTTGATTTGGTGTTTTAGTTTACTTCATTAAGTACATTGGATGAAAATAAAAATGTGTCATTACTTTTGAAAATCACATATTAACTTCAATTGATGGATTTGAAATAGAATGATAAAAAATGGCGATTAATCGTCAGAGTTAACTCACCATTACTAGCGTTTATCACTAAAAAAAATAATACTGTTTGACAGCCCTAATATATATATATATATAGTATAAAGTAAGTATATCATACTATACCTATATATATATATTTATTTTTATTTTATCATTTTGCATACGCCACAAGAAGGAGCCCCCGCGTACCAGTGATCTTACGCGTAACACACACTTGAGAATCACTGAACTACGTCAATACAGACAACAGACGTGACATATACAGTACAGACCAAAAAGTTTGGATGCATTTGGTCAAATTCAAATGAGTTGTAGGTTTCACTCTCACCAGTGTAAGAGAGCTGTTAACCAGCCTCCAACAGTCACCAGACTGTGGAGGCAACCAGATGGTTTTTTTGTGATGATTGGACCACAGAATTGAAGGTGAAAGGCCAACAAATGCAAAAGCATCCCTCATGATCTCCTTCAAGACGTGGAAGACCTTTTCAATCACTACCTATCTGAAGCTCATCACGAGAATGGCAAGAGGTGTGCGAAGCAGTAATCAGAGCAAAAGGTGCTACTTTGAAGAACTTAGAAAATAAGACCGTATTATCAGTTGTTTTTCATCTATTTTACTTAGTACAAATACATAAATCCACATGAGTTAATTCATAGTGTTGATGCCTTCAGTGTGAATCTACAATTTTTCATAGTGAAAAATAATGAAAATATGAAAATAAAAACAAATCTTTTTGAATGAAAGGTGTGTCCCCAACTTTTTTTATACATTGTCAATGGCGTTCATTAATACTTCTCACCTCAGATGGCAAGAGAGAACTAACTATCGGTTAGAAGACACTTTCTAGAACAACCCACCATTATCTCAGCTACTACCAAGTCTTAAGCATACTAGCTTAAACATACTTGTAAATAAAAACTTAAACTGATTGTATTTGTTATATTTTTTTTGTTCATTTTTTAGTGTGTAGTATGTAACATCTCTGTATTGCAATCCTTCAAAAGTTTAACTTTGTCCAACACATGATTAAACATTGTACCTAAATTAATTTTGTGGAGACACGTCCCATCCGAACAACAACAACACAACAACAAGCAGCAATCCACGCTACAAATCATTTCCAAACATTTATTTGAGAAGTAAGATTATAATTCTTTTTTTAAATCTCTTTTAAATATTCTTTCTAATTAATTTTCCCAGTTACCAGCACCCGGAGTGCCAAGTTTCCCAGTGGCCACTCACGACTACAGCCAGAAAGCATCAACTTACTCCTACCCCTCACAGACCCGGCCATCCCCCAGTCACTGTGCTCCCCAAGCTGGTTGCCCCCAAAGGAGAACGCCCAACCTCACCCAGCATCAGCAGCACCAGCTCAGCACATGACTTTATGAACTCCCGGACAAGTGCAAGTTCAGGGGAGAACTGATCACAGAGCACCAGCTGGGACATGTCCAAAGTGCAAGCAGACTGACACATGATGTGGTTATGTCGATGGACTAGTATCAATGAGTGGGAATGACTCATAGGAGTTACAAGTTGGATATTTTGTATTCTAAGTCTACAAGAATCCAAATAAAATAGTGATCCTAATAAATAATAAAACTAAAATTCCTAACTTTGAAACCAAAAATAACAAAAATTTAATAAATCCATAGTTATAGTTTTCTCTCTCTCGCAAAACTCTTTACTCTCCATTGATAGTTTTCACATGTAAAGAAATATTGGCCGTCTTTCACACCTTTAACTTAGCTTTTTTCAGTGATAAAAGAGAGTACTCTCTAAGTAAGCCAATCAAGCTCTCAGTATTGTAAAGACAGCATTGTTTTCTATCAGATGAAGACAGCATTTGTTTCTGCTTTGTTCACACAATGTTACTTAAACAGAATGATTAGACCTATTACATAAAAGGATTTGGCAAAAGAAGAAATAGAGACAACACAATAAATTATGTTGCCTTTATGTTTTGTGTGGCCGAATAGCAAGGAAGCGCACATCAGCCAGAGCCTCCTCCAAGCCCCCAAACCCCAGCATCCCCCTGTGGCAACCGCGCTGCAGAAGCTTCTGTACCATACATTGGTCAGGACACCGATGAGCATCAGCTTCTAAGTCAATGACGTCTTTGAACTGCACAAAGAAGTAAGGAAGGTTTGACAACCATGGGATTGAAATCATTTCATAAAGTGGGTTCTCCCCGCCCCGCTCCTCGGAGCTTACGTCACTCACATTTCCTGTTCAAATCTTTCCTCTAAATGGGCGTAGCCTGGAGGACGAAAGGGGGCGTGAAACTAGACTGGGCCCGTTACCATTGCTCTGGTCGGTGGGCGGCTGACGTCAGGTCCGCAACTTCTTGCATGTGTCGCCAGATATCCAAATTCGAAAATGTAGTAAATACAGGTCGCCAGCAGATGGCGTCCTCACAGACGGTTTTAGGCAGAAAATTCTGACTATCTCTCTCAACATAGCAACAAACAATCGGAACGAATCAACAAAAAACCAAAAAGAAAGCAAACAAGGAACCCCCCAACAGAAAACAGAACGCAAAGAAAAAAACACAAAAGGAAACCAGAAAAGGCCGAAACAAACAAAAAAAGAATAAATAAAGAATCGAAAAACGAATGAAGCGCCTCAAAAAAAGGGCAAGAAAAAAAAAAAAAAAGAAATAACCAAAATGAAAAAAAAATAACGGAATGGAAAAAAAAGTAAATCAGCAAAACCCAAACGAAAAGATACAAAAAAAACAACAAATCAAAGAATAAACCAGAAAAACAAACATCAAACATACAAGCAAACATAACAGGAGGGCCAGGAGGAAAAGAAGAGATAGTCAAACTTTCTGCTAAAAACGTCTGTGAGTCGCCATCTGCTAGGCGACCTGTAATACTACATTTGAATTTTGAAATCTGGCGCCAACACTGCATAAGAAGTTGGAACCTGACTCAGCCGCCCCCGCCCCGAGAGCAATGTAAACGGCCCAGTCTCGTTCACGCCCCCTTATAGTCCTCCATGCTACGCCCATTTAGAGAAGATTTTGAACAGGAAAAGTGAGTGAACGTAAGCTCCGAGTAGCGGGGGGTAGAACCCCTTTAAGAAAAATGCTTTCAATCCATGGTAGTCAAACCTTACTTACCTTCTTTGAGCAGGTTCAAAGACGTCATTGACTTCGAAGCTGATCTCATCGGTGTCCTGACCAATGTACTGGTACAAGCTCGGCAGCGCGGTGCCTTACAGGGGGAGGTCTGGGGTATGGGGCTGGAGGAGGCCTCTGGCTGATGCTGCGCTTCCATCTGCTTGCTGCACACAAAACATAAAGGCAAACATATTTATTGTGTTGTCTCTATTTTCTTCCTTTGCCCCCCAAAACCTTTATTAATAGTCCAATCATTCCTTGGTTTAAGTAACATTTTGTGAACAAATCAGAACACAACATGCTGTCTTCATCTATAGAAAACATGCTGTCTTTTTTTTACATACTGAGAGCTGATTGGGCTTAGAGAGGTACGTCTCTTTTTCACTGAAAAAGGCAAAGTACAAGGTGTAGAAAGAGGCAAAAATACATAACAGGTGAAAACCTATCAGATGGAAGTAAAGATTTGAGAAGAGAAACAATAACTAAGGATTTATTAAATTTTTGTGGTTTTCAAAGTAGGCTATTTTAGTTTTATTATTTTTAGATCACTTTTATTTGGGATACTTGGTTTAGACTTTAGAATACACAAAATCCAACAGTATCTCCTTGAGTCATTCCCACTCATTGTTTACTAGTCCATCCGACATAACCACATCATGTTTGGGTCAGTCTGCTTCACTTTGGGACATGTCCCGCTGGTGCACCCTGTGACTTTCTGTGCTCACCTGACATGCCCTGGTCCGGACGTTCATAAAGGTCCATGTTGCTGTGCTGCGTGCTGATGCTGGGTGTGGTTGGGCGTTCGCCTTGGGTGCCCAGCTTTGTGAGCACAGTCTGGGGGATGGCCCTTGTCCGGGAGGGTGGGGGGGGGGGAGGAAAGTGATGCTTTCTGGCCTGAATGTGCTTGCACGGGGAAACTTGCACCTCCGTCTGGTAAACTGGGGAAAATTATATTAGAAAGAATATCAAAGATATTTAAAAAAAAGAATTATAATTACTTCTCAATAAATGAGAAAAATGGATTTAGTAGCTTGATTGCTGCTTGTTGTCCAGTGTTGTGTGTTCGGGAATAGGTGACGGTGTCTCACAACACTTTTATTTAGAGTAACAATGTTTAATCAATGTGTTGGACAAATTAACTTTTGAAGAGATAGCATACAGAGATGTTACATACATACACACACTAAAAAATTACATCAAAATATAAAACATACAAACATTATAAGTTTTTTTTACAAGTATGTTTAAGCTATATGCTTAAAGAATTTGTATTAGCTTGTGATAATGGTGGGTAGTTCAGAAGTGTATAACATATTCGGACTCCTCTTCCCTATCTGAAGGAGAGAATTAAATATGAAAGCCATTTGACATCTGTTATAAAAAAAGTGGACACACCTTCTCATTCAAGATTGTTTTTCTTTTCATATTTTCATTATTTTCACTTGCAAATTGTCGATTCACACTGAAGCATCAACACTATGAATAACTCATGTGGAATTATGTATGTACTTAAGTAAAAAAGTATGAAACAACTGAAAATATGTCGTAGATTCTAAGTTCTCTCAAAGTAGCACCGTTTGGCTCCTATTTCTGCTTCCACACTCTTGGGCATTCTCATGATGAGCTTCAAGAGTATGATTAGAAAAGTCTTCATCAGTCTTGAAGGAGATCCCTGAGATGCTTAGCATTTGTTTGCCCCTTTCACCTTCCTCTGGTCCAACTCATCACAAAACCATCTGGATGCCTCCACAGGTCTGGTGACAGGGGAGGGCCGGGTAAACAGCCCTTACACAGGCAGGAGATTGAATCTACAACTCATGAATGACAAGCTCCAAACATATTGGTCCTGTACTGTATAGTCCAGTCTGTCTGTCTGTATTGACGTAGTTCAGTGATCTCAAAGAGTGGTATCGCGTAAATCACTGGTACGCGTGGCTCCCTCTAGTGGTATGCAAAAATGAAAAAAATAAAATATATAGAGATTATATATATAAATAGTATATATATAAATCTATAATATATTTAGGGCTGTCAAACGATAAATTTTTTTAGTTGATTAATGATAGTAATGGTGAGTTAACTCACGATTAATCGCATTTTTAACATTTCTATTTCAAACCACTCCAAATGAAGTTGAATGAGATTTTCAAATGTCAATCGACACATTTTTTATTTCCTTAGCCAACTGTTACTTAAAGAGTAACTAAACACCAAATCAACTTTTTTTACTTATAACACTGCCTAAATATGTTTCCTATAGATGCTCCCTACCTGTCCTGGTCATATATTTGACATTTTTATCCAAATTATTAAAATCTCACTTTTGAGCCTAAACCGTCTGTGTGGCGCCCTCTCTATGGTTTTTCCGTGTCACTACATTTGAATTTTTGTTCCTGGACTCGTCCCCTTGTCTCTTGAGTTCCCTAGTTTCTGTGACCGCAGTCTTCCCCGAGCCTCTGCTATAATTCTGTTTGAACTGCTCACAACCTTCTACTTATTGGGTACAACCAACATATTGGACCCAATGGCAATAATGCGTTATTTATATTTTTACGCGTTAATGAAACGGTAATGTAACGTGAATCTAACGCGATAATTTGGACAGCCCCCTAATACTATATATATATATATATATATAATATAATATTATTATTTTTTTGTTTGGTGTTGGGGGGGGGGGGGGGGGGGGGGGGGGGGGGGGGGGTGGGGGGGGGCTGTGATTCTAACCAGGAAAGTCCCATTGAGATTAAGGACCTCTTTTTCAAGGGAGTCCTAAATAAAAGTCACATACAATTACCAGATTACTGGACTGGTTTTCAAAGCAAGTGCTATCCTGTAGTGTATCCTTTGCTTTCTGGTACAGCTAACTCTTGTGCAGAATTGTCACAGTTCATCTCTGGGTTTGGGAGACGTCGACGTGGTTCAGTTGAGGACTGGAACAAACGTTGAACTCTCATTGGTTTTCTTAGTCAGTGAAATAACTTAGTTGAAAGCACTCCTAGCGGAGTTACCGAGCTCTATAATACGTATAGAGATATGTAGGGCTGGGAGGAGGGTCTCCTTGGTTGATGTTGGCTGCGGAGGGAGGTCACTTGAAGTACCAGGTTGGTCCAAGCAAGCTAGGTGCTGCTGATTTAAAGAGTCTGAACCGCCTGAAAAATCGTTGGATCACGGTCCGGTTAGGCAACGTCTATATGCAGGGGTGAACTGGGTGTCACCAAAGCCAAAATTGAGTCAGCCATTTGGCAGTTGTCCTGACTCCACTCCTTTCACCTGGTGATCAAGTGATGGGATTTATGTCCTATTATAAGATCAACGTACAAGCAAAATATTACGGTTACGGTTCTTGAAAAAACATGGTGAACAAACTATTTTGAACGTGAAGCCCGAACGCAGGAAGAGGCACAGTTGTTCATGTCCAACTTTTTGAACATTTTCAATGTCATTTCAAGTTCAGTTAAATCGTATTGCGCAATCATGCGGTAGGGCTTCTTCCCTTCTTCCCTTGCCTAGGCACTAGCAGGTTGCGTGTCCAGCATGCAGAAATAAACACTGGCAGAGGAAGGATCCTCACCACCCACCCGTGCGAAGCCACACCGGGACAGCACGTGGAGAGCCAGTCCCTGGCCGTAATAGACGCTTAAGTGCCGTAAGGTGGATGGATGCCAATACTTGTCGGCTTTCGGGAGGGGACCGCTGCGGCTACAAAGCAGCTAAATATCAGTTCAGGGACGAACTGAAAGCCCAATCCCCGCACAGAGATATAAACAACTCTTCTTGAGGCTGCACCCCCGCAAAGCTCCGGGCCCGGACCAAGTGTCTCCAGCCACTCGGAGACACTGCGCGAGTGAGCTAAACTCCTGGGTTGTTCACTGACTATTTTTCAACTCCTCTCTGCAGTCCAGCATGTCCCGGCCTCTTCAAATCCTCCATCATTGCCCCCGTCCCGAATAAGCCCCAGGATCACAGGACTCAATGACAACTGACCTGTAGCACTTACGTCCTGTCGTCATGAAGTATTTGAACGCCTGTCCTCTCCATCTCAAGTCCATCACCTCCCCCTCCTGGACCCCCTGCAGTTCGCCTACAGAGCCAACAGATCTGTAACACACGCAACACCTGGCCCTCCACCACATCCACAGCACTTGGACTCCCGGGACCTACGCCAGGTCCTGTATCTGGACTAAGCCTCTGCCTTCACCACGATCCTGCCATCCTGGCTCCGACAAGCTCTCCCGCGTCCCCCCCAAAAACGATTGCCGTTTCCCACCTGCAGGTGGATCACTGACTTCCTGCCAACAGGAAAGCAGCGAGTGCGTCTGGGGAAAATGTCTCGGACTCTCGATTATTAAATACAGGAGCCCCACCGGGCTGTGTTCTTTCTCCCCCTGCTCTTTTCCTTGTAACACCAACCACTCGCCCCTCCACCACGACTCTTGTGAAGCTGCTCAAGTTCGCGATGGACACATCCCTCATTTGCCTCATCTCCAAGAAAGATGAGTCCGCTACAGGAGGGAGGTGGACCGGCTTGTGTCCTGGTGCAGTGGTAACAACCTGGAGCTGAACGCCCAGAAGACAGTGGAATGATTGTTGACCTTCAGGAAGAGCACTGTCCCCCCGCCCCCACCTTCCGTGATGGACCTCCCCATCCCCGTTCACTGGGCACCACCATCACCCAGGACCCTCAAGTAGCTGACCATCAGCTCCCTCATCAAGAAGGGCCCAGCAGAGGATTACTTCTGCATCAGCTCAGGAAAGTCCAGCTGCCTGCACAGATTTGTGGCAGGTTCTACACGGGCCATCATACGAGTCCAGCCTCACCTCCTCCGTCACCGGGAGTGGTATCGCTGGAGCCACTGTCAGGGACTAACAGAGACTACAGCGCATTGTGCGCTCTGCATAGGAAGTGATTGGCCGCAGCCTTCCATCGCTGCAGGACCTGTACGTCCCCCCCGAGCTCAGAGGCCGGCTGGTCGTATCACAGCCGACCCCTCTCACCGGCACATGGCCTATCCAACCACTCCCTTAGCAGGAGACTGCGGTCCATCAGCCTAGAACCTCCCTCACAAGAACAGATTCTTCCCCTCTGCTGTTTGACCTCTTGAACACTTCTTAACCTGTCCCCCCGCCCTTTAAAAAAGTCACTTGACTGCCCATCATACGTCACTTACTTCACTGTATTCTGCTGTCACCTTACATTGGTTGCACCATGTGCACTTGTATATTGTAAAATAGTAACGTTAACTCTATTCTAATTTTAAATGTATCCATAGAAGTGTGTTTTTATTCTTTATTTTTAGTTTATTTTATTATTTCCTCTGACAGTTCAACCTGAGCCGAAGCAATTCCAAGTCAGTGACTTCCTGTTACTTACTTGGCATAAAAAGTATGTCTGATTCTGATAAGAGTATGCAAGAAAATGCCCCTACGAGGGTTCTGGAACATAGGCCGTTGTCTCTTCCCCCTTCTGTTTATGTTACGGCCTAAGCGGGTCGTAACAATAGACAAAAGTTAATTTTCCAGTTCCTGTGCGGGCAAAGGGAACAGAGAACAACAAAAATCATTGATCGCAAACCATATGAACCAACATCTCATTTTGTAGTAATGCAGAAGTACTGTACAGAGGCCATCAGACCAAGCCCTAATAAACAAAAGTGCACCCGTGTCCAAACCTCTGTGGACAAAGAAGGCCAATCCCACTCGAGGATTTAATTCACAGGGGATCAAGGCTTACAGTTTGTAAGAATTGAAAATTTTAAATTGAATCATTATTTAAGTACAGTTATTTAGGTTTTTTCTTTCTCCTATTATTTAAGCACAGTATGGTACTGTTTGAAAAATGAGTAAAATGTTACAATTGGCTCCACAATATTAAATATACATCTTGTAGAATGAAACCTCTGCCTTGTTCTTGATGAATACATAGGCTTACTACGCAACGGTATAGGTGGTTTGGTCGTTTTTGGTGTACTTGAGAGGATCGTATTTTCTGAGGTGGTACATGGTGCAAAAAGTTTGAGAACCACTGCTATTTAGATGCCATCTGCCGAAAGCTGTACAGAATGTGAATTTCAATATTTCTTGTGTGTGTTAAAAAAAATGGACCTGTTACGTGGTTGCGTGTTGGTTATCGTGTGATCTGAGTCTGAGCGTGTCCTTCCTCATAGTGGAGGAGTTAACAGTCACTTAGGTCTTGTTCTCAGTGAGGAAGGATGAGCAATGAAGTGAGATATCAGAACGGAATTGTGCAGCATGCGTGTGGTAATGCGAGTCACTGTATCAGAATTGGCCGGTGAAGAGACAGCAAAGCTCAATAAATGGTCCCACCTAGCTAATGATTCATTTAGCAAATGCACGTATGTAAATAGTTACCTAGTAACTTAAGTTCTACGAATAGGTAGGCGGTAGCCCTAGGAACTTCGCTAGTGGGGATATCGCTCGTGACCCCATCACACGCCGAAGAGATCAAAATAATTGCTCCCATCACCAAGCCACGCCACCTCTATAAAGGCCCGCCCCTGCCACACAGCCGCACCCCCTCTTGAAACTCGCCAAGCCGGCTGGCCTGATGGGCTCGTAGCTAAGGGACTCACGCACCTATTCCGTAGAACTTAAGTTACATTAGTAACTATTAATTCTACGTCATGGTGCTAACGTCCCCTTAGTACTTCGATAGTGGGACACTGACGTGGACTACCTGACTGCGACCAACAACAAACCAAGTACCGCAACCTGTAGGATGCCGTCTCCCTGAGCTCCCAGAACCATGGCGGGAAATTCAACCGAAGGCCCCCTCAGAGGAGGACCTAACGGTTTAACCTCAGTCCGCTGCACTCAGCACGGAATGGGCCACCGACCGGTCTCCCTGACACTTCCAAAAGATAATCCCGGACGAAAGAAGAGGACGCCGCCCAAGAAGCCGCACGCAGACGTCCTGACCGAACGCCCCTGAGGAGGCCGGAAGAGGGCCGCCACCCCACCGTGTGGGGAATGCCGACCTGAAGCCCACCGGGTGGCAGACCCTGCTCTGGATACGCCCGCCGCACAGCCGTGGCAACCCAGTGCGCCAGCCGCTGAGCCGACTGCAGGGGCGCCCCTTTTTCGTGGTGCCCAGACCACACAAACCTGGAATGACGACGTCATGGCCAATAATGCCTCAGCATTCTGACAGACACAGAAGGTGCGCCGCTCCTCCTCGGGGAGGCATGCGGTGGCGATAGAACGCCCATAATCCTGATGACCTCGACCTAAAGGCCGACGTGATGCCGCTTTGGGAGAAAGGCCGGATTGGGTCCCCACAATACCACCATGCAGGTCGCCCTCGGCAAAGGACAGGCAAGACGCATGGACAGAGAGCGCACACAAGTCGCCCGCCCTCTTAGCAGACGCCAACGGGGGCCAGCAAGAGTGGCCGCTAAAAAAGCGACAACCTCGGACTCGCCTCCGACGCCGGTTCAAAAGGCGGACACGACTGCCCCCTAAGACCACCCTGAGTCCCCAAACCGGCGGCGTTCTCAGAGCGGGGCTCCTCCTCGCGCCCCCCCCAGAAACGTTTTAACCACCGGATGAGAAACGGCTGTGAACCCCCCCAATCCTCGTGGACCCGATGTATATGTCTGCCGCGAACACCGCCAAGTGGCGACAGCCCTCCCATTGTCAAAAAGCATTCTGTATGAATCCCAGGACCCCCTCCAGCGGGCAACGCCTGGATCCCAGAACAGAGAACCACACCAGTCCTGCAGAGGCCTCCACCTCGTGCTAGGCCCCTCACAGTGGAAGGCGCCCTCGCCCCCTGAATGGTCTCCACCACCGCAGGGGAAGACGCCAGGTCTAACGAGGTCCGCCTCTCAGCCTCCAAACCCAGAGCCTGCGGACGATTATCGGCGTGAAAACAGGGTTTTCCCCCCCCCTGGACTAGACCCCCTGCTCGTCCGGGAGGCCAGGGCTCCATCACCGCCAGCCCCTCAGAAGGGGACCCAGCGTCTGCTGATACTGTCCGGAGTCCACCAGGGATCACCTACCTCCTCTCCTGTTCGATCCTCCGCAGCAGGACCGCAGGAAGACGCAGCTGGTGTGAAAGCGCACAGACAGGCCCTCTGGCCAGGGTAATGAGCCAGAGCGCCCATGCCTAAGAGGCGGGCTCGACCCGCGGCCCTTAAGGCGAACCAGGACGGGCACTGTGCGTTTTCTGCACTGGCGAAAGGTCCACCACTGACGGCACGAACCTCGCCAGATCTCCGCAGCTACCCGTGGGGCCAGGCCCCACGCGTCCTGGATGGGCCCCCCCTGGACATCCGTCCGGCCCCACGTTCCGGACCCCCGGGACGTGGCGCCGCCTGGATAGAAACATGAGGTGAAGCCTGCCCACATCGCAGCGTCACCGTCGCCATGCGATGGTGGTGGCTGTCGGGAGAATTGCAGAGCTTAACCCCTGCGCAATGTTTTTCTCAGCCATAGATCTGTCAGCAAACCTTGCATCCATCCCGATGCTGTAGAAGTCCTGTGAGGGGCGGAACGGGAGCTGGAACACGAGACGTCACGGCCCCGCCCTCTCACTGGTGTACCTCGCAGGGAGGGGGGGTGACGAAATGGTGCCGGGGGGACCACCCTGCGTCACACGTGAGCGCCGGGGGCGGTCACATGTCCTGCAGCCCGACAGTCATAAGGTACGGAATGCTCAGCCCACGTGACGCCGGCTGCTGTGCCCGCCCCTCTGCTCTTGCCTCACAGGGGAGGGGGGGGCGAGCCCCTGAGGTGGAAACCCCGTATTAAGCCTTGTAGCTCAGAGATGCTAACCCGCGTTCGGCAGAATCACACACACCACTACACCACCAGACTCCCTCCAGCCTGACCTCTCTCTGGGAGGCAGAGTAGGGATCAGAGTGGCCGGGACGCTGGGGGGGGGGGGGTAGCGCGCGTAGCGCACTGGCAAACCCGCTCTGGGGGCTGGGCAGGCCTAGCGAAGCAACGTTATGTGCTCGAGAAGTAACACAATCAGAATTCACATTATTTGACATGATTTACCAGACCCCCAAATGAGACCTCTAGAAACAAGTAATGAGAAAATCCGGTCCGGACCTTTATGAAGGAAAAATTCCACCCCGCCTCCTCTGCAATAGGGAGTTCGCGGTGGGTGCTTGCTCCCAAGCCGAGCCACCCGTGGGGCTTCTGGACTCCGCGGGGGCCACGTCGAGGGGGGACGATGGACAACAGAGCGCGGATACGGGTCAGATGCCTCCCGGGCGATCGCTCTCTGCCTCTGTTCCCGGCTACCGTGATGGTTAGGTGGGGCCTCGCGCCTCGGGGCTCAAGTGCGGGGCTAGCCTAGCCGAGTCCGTTGGCTGCAGACTCCAGTCTCGCACCCAAAGCCTGCATGTCCGGGCCGAAGAGGGACGTCTGAGAGATGGCAAGGTCCAGCAGCTTCCTCTTCTCCGCCTCCCTGATATTCGCCAGCCCAAGCCAAAGCCCTGGCCCCGACTTGGGCTGCAGCCATGGAGCGGCCACCGTCCACGCCGAGCGTCTGGCACATGCGCAAATCGCCGCCGAGGTGGTCCCTCGCATGTGACAGGAGGTCTCCACTGAGCGCCTGGCCATAAGAGAGCGACCTATTCAGCCCTCGGAATAATGCCCATGTTGTTAGCCAATGCGACACCTGTGCCGCCTTGGCATAACATCTATCCAGCATCGGCTAGACATCCTGTCCCGCTCGGAGGAAGGAGAGGTCTGGTGCCGGCAGTGGGCGGAGCCGAGGGGGTACCCGGGTGGCCAAAGCCACCCTCTAAAAATATCCTTGCCACCCCCAGTGCCCCCCATCGAAGACGGTATGTAAATAAGTTTAATCTTGAGAATCTCCGCACTTTTTTCCGCCAAAAGCTAACAAATTCCACGTTTTCCCGTCCTGTGAACGCACCCTGACTCCGCGTGGAGGCCTTACATCTAATACAGCCATGGTGTGGGAGCCAGTGCTGTAGCAAATGCATTGGGTGTTGGACTCAGTGTGCCCAAGCCCCGGCGATCCAAGATGGCGCCCTAATCAAATGAATGGTTGTGCTCAGTGGAGACCTCCCTGTCACAGGCGAGGACCACCTCGGAGGCGATCTGCGCATGGGCCAGAACGCAAGCCGTGGTACGGTGGCCGCTCCAGGGGCTGCAGGCCCAGTCGGGGCCAGATGCACCTTTGGGCTTGGTCTGGATAATAACAGGGAGCGGAGAAGAGGACAGCTGCAGGACCAGCCCATCCTCTCAGACGTCCCTCTTCGGGCCCGGACATCAGCCTTGGGGCGAGACTGGAGTCTGCACCAACGACTCGGCTAGGCTAGCCCCCGCACTTAGCCCCGAGGCGCGAGGCCACCCAACCACCACGTGAGCCGGGACTGAGGCAGAGAGCGTTCGCTCCGGGAGGCATCCTGACCCTTATCCGCGCTCTGTTGTCCATCCGTCCCCCTCGACGAGGCCCCCGGGGACCAGACAGACCCACGGGTGGCTCCGGTAGCAAAGCGCAACCACGCCGACCTCCCTATGGCAGAGGAGGTCGGTGTGGAAATTTTTCCTTCAATAAAGGCCGACACGGCATTTCCATCATTACTTGTTTCTAGAGTCTCATTTGGGTATGGTAAACATGTCAAATAATGTGAATCTGATTGTGTTACTTCTCGAGCACATTAACTTTGCTTTCGCTAGCCTGCAGCCCCCAGACAGGGATGTGCAGTGCGCGACGCGAGCTACGAGCTCCGGCCCTCATGATCCATACTATGCCCTCCCAGAGAGAGGTCAGCGGAGGGATCTGGTGAGTAGTGGTGTGTTGCTTCGCCGAACGCGTTTTAGCATCTCTGAGCTACAAGGCTGAATACGGGTTTCCCCACTCCAGGGGCTGCGCCCCCCCTCCTTGGAGGAAGCGCCAGGGGGGGCACAGGCAGCCGATCACGTGGGATGACAGTCCCGTACTTATGACGTCGGGCTGCAGGACATGTGACCAGCCGCGCCGGCGCTCACGGTGTGACGCAGTGGGCCCCCCGCCCTTGCGTCCACCCCCCTCCTTGCGTGGACACAGAGAGGGCGGGGCCTCGGACGTCTCGTGGTTCCAGCTCCGTGTCCGCCTCACGAGACTTCTACAGCAGCTGGAGGGAGCAAGTGTTTTGCGACAGAATCTATGGCAGGAGAAAACATTGCGCAGGGGTTACGCTCTGCAATTCTCCCGAAAAGCCACCACCATCGTCATGGCGACGGTGACGCTCTGCTGTGGCGCGCTTCACCCTCCTGTCTCTCAGGTCGCGCCCCGTCCCGGGGTCCGGAACGTGGGGCCGACAGGATGTCCAGGGGGGGCCCACGTCCAGGACGAGTGTGGGCCTGCCCCACGGTTAGCGCGGCGAATGGCGGAGGTTCGGCCGTCCATGGTTTAACTTTTCGCCAGTGCAGAAAACGCACAGTGCCCCGTCCTGGTTCGCCTTTAAAGGCCTGCGGGGACAGCCGCCTCTAGGCATGGCGCTCTGGCTCATTACCCTCCTGGCCAAGGGCCCTGCTGTGCGCTTTCCCAACCAGTGGGGGGGCGTCTCCTGCCGGTGCCTGCCTGCGGAGGATCGGAACAGGAGAGGAGGGTCGGTGATCCTGGTGGCTCCGGGACAGTCCCCCGCGGGTTCCCCTTGCCTGAGGGGCATGGCGGTGATGGAGCCCTGGGCCCTCCCGACGAGCGGGGGCGCTAGTCCGGGGGGGAACCCTGTTTTCACGCCCGATAATCGGCCCGCAGGATCTGGTTTTGGAGGCTTGAGAGCGGAACCGCGTAGACCTGGGTCTTCCCGCCTGCGGTGTGGAGAACCATTCAGGGGGCGAGGGCGCCGTCCACTGTGAGGGGCCTAACGCCCACAGGAGGAGGCTCTTCAGCGACCTGGTGTGGTTCTCGTTCCTGGGTCCCGAGGCGTTTGCCCGCTGAAGGGTGCCTGGGATTCCTACAGAAGCTTTTTGACAAGGGAGGGCTGTCGCCAACCTTGGCGTGTTCGCGGCAGGCCATTACATCGGGTCCCGACGGATTCGGGGGGTTCACAGCCGCTTCTCAACCGTTGGGTTAAACGTTTGTCTGCGGGGGGGCGCGCTGAGGAGCCCCCGCTCAAGAACGCCCCCCGTTTGGTGACCTCAGGGTGGTCCTTAGGGGCTGTCGGTCCGCCTTTTGAACCGGCGGCGGAGGCGAGTCCCGATGTTTGTCGCATTTTGACGGCCCTCTTGCTGCCGGTTGGCTCCTGCTAGAGGGCGGGGCGACTTGTGTGCGCTCACGTCCTTGGTCCATTCTCCTTGCCCTGTCCTTTGGAAGAGGGCGACTGCATGGTGGTATTGTGGCCCAATCCGGCCTTTCTCCCCAAGGTCATCAAGTCGGCCTTAGGTCGAGAGTCATCAGGATTAGGGCTTTCTAATCCGCCAACACGCAAGCCTCCCCCCGAGGAGGAGCGCGGCACCTTCTGTGTCCTGTCAGAATGCTGAGGCATTCACTTGGCCTATGACGTCGTCAATATCAGGTTTGGTTGTGTCTGGGCCCCAGAACAGGGGCGCCCCTTGCCTGTCTGGCTCAGCGGCTGGCGCACTGGTTGCCACGGCAGTGCGGCGGTCGTATCAAACCCAGGGTCTGCCCCCCGGTGGGCCTTCAGGTCGCATTCCACACAGGTGGGCGGCCTCTACGCCCTCCGCAGGGGGCGGTCGGTCGAGGACGTCTCCGTGCGGCTTCTTGGGCCGTCGTCCTCATTTCTTTCGTCCGGCTCTTCATCTTTTGGATGTTGTCGGACCGGTGCGGTGCCCATTCCGTCTGAGGGGCAGCGGACTGAGTTAAACGCGTTAGTTCCCTCCTCTGGAGGGGCCTTCGTTGACTTCCGCCCCTGTGTTTCAGGAGCTCTTGGGAGAGCATCCACAGGTGCGGATCTGGTTTGTTGTTGGGTCCGGTCAGGTAGTCCACACTGTGGTCCCACTTATCGAAGTCCCTAAGGGGACGTATCACCATGACGTATAATTAATAGTTACCTAATGTAACTTAAGTTCTACGAAAGGTCGTATCCCTTAGCAATCGAGCCCCATCATGCCAGCCCGCTTGGCAGAATCAAAGAGGGGGTGCGCTGTGTGTGTCAGGGGCGGGGGCCGTTATAGAGGAGGGTGGCCTGGAGATTGGAGCAAATTATTTGATCTCTCTGGCGTGTGACCTGGGGGTCACGAGCGATATCCACGAGCGCCGTCCTAAGGGACTACGCGACCTATTCGTAGAAACTTAAGTTTTACATAGGTAACTAATTATATTACTTGCATTGCTAAAATGGAATTCATCACTAAAGGTGGTACCACGTTATTATTTATTTGAGCTTGCCTGTCTCTCACGTCAATATTCTATACAGTGATCCAGCATTAAACCACACAGGCTGCACAAATCCGTACGATTATCTCACTTCATGCATCCATCCTTCTCATCACAGAGACCAAACCTAAGAGACTGTAACACCCCACTTGAGAAGGACAACCTGCAGAAACAGAATCAACACGTAACCAACACGCACCCGTAACAGGTCCATCTTTTTTTAACAACGACACAATGCAATTATTGAAATTCAAATTCTGTACAGCTTGTGCAGCTGGCCATCAACTAACGTCATGGTTCTCAAACTTTTGCACCATGTACCAAACCTCAGAAACGACTTGCCTCTCCAAGTACAACCAAAAAAAGACAACACTATACACGGTATGAGCGTAGTAAAGCCCTAATATTCATCCAGAACATGGCAGAGGTTTACATTCCTAAAGAAGTATATTTAATATTGTGAGCCATTGAACATTTTACTCATTTTCACAGTACAATTGTGCTTAAATATAGGAGAAAGAAAAAACTAAAAACGGATACACTAAATTAATGAGTTCAATTTAAATTTCAATTCATTACAAACGTAAAGCGCCTTTGACTCACCACTGTGAATTATATCCTCGAGTGTGATGCCTTCCTTTGTCCAACCAGAGGGTTTGGACAGACACGGGGTGCACTTTGTTTATAGCTTGTCTGCTGGCCTCTTACAGTACATCTGCCATTTACGACACACAAGAATGTTGGTCTATTGTTTGCGATCAAATGATCTTTGTTTGTTCTCTTTTCCCTTTGCCCGCACCGAACTGGGAAAAATAACTTTTGTATATTTGTTTACTACCCCCGCTCTAGGCCGTAACATAAATCAGAAGGGAAGAGACAACGGCCAATGTTCAAACTCTCAGTAGGTGCATTTATTGCATACTAATATCAGAATCAGAATCCTTTTTATTGCCACGTAAGTTAACAGGAAGTCACAGACTTGGAAATGGATTCGGCTCAGTGCAACAGTCAGGAGAGAGATAATCAAAAATAAAATAAAAGACTAAACAAACCTTCTAAGGAATACATTAAATTTAGAATAGAGTAAACGTAACTATTCTACAATATACAAAGTGCAACATGGTGCACCACAATGTAAGGTGACGCATACAGTGAAGTAAATTGACGTATGATGGGCAGTAAAAGTACTTTATAAAGGGCGGGGGGACAGGTGTAAGAAGTGTTCAGAGTCCCAACAGCAGAGGAATAAACGTTCTTGTGGACGGGAGGTCTAGTCCTGATGGACCGCAGTCCACCTGCTACGGGTAGTGTTGGAATATTCCATGTGCAGGGTGAGAGGGGTCGGCTGTGAAAACGACCAGCTCCCGGCCATCGACTGGCGCGACGTACAGGTCCTCAGCGAAGGAAGCTGCGGGCCAATCACCTTTCCTCTGCAAGCGCACAAACGCTGTACTCTTTTGTCCCTGAACTGGTGCTCCTCGAACCACACGGTGACGGAGGAGGAGAGGGATGGACTCGATGATGGCCGTGGTAACCTGCAAACAACATCTAGTGCAGGCAGCTGGCTTTCCTGAGCTGCTGGGCAGGAAGTACATCCTCTGCTGGGCCTTCTTGATGAGGGAGCTGATGGTCAGCTCCCCCTTGAGGGTCCTGGTGATGTGGAGCCCATGAAACGGAAGGGGAGAGTCCATCACGGAAGGTGGGGGCGGGGGGACATGCTCTTCCTGAAGTCCACAATCATCCTCCTGTCTTCTGGGCGTGTCAGCTCCAGGTTTTTACCGGCCACTGCACCAGGACACCCAGCCTGGTCCCACCTCCCTCCTGTAAGGCGGACTCATCGTTCTTGGAGATGATTCCAATGAGGGAGGTGTCATCCGCGAACTTGAGCAGCTTCACAGAGTCGTGGCTGGAGGTGCAGTAGGTTGGTGTACAGGGAAAGAGCAGGGGAGAAAAGAACCAGCCCTGTGGGCTCCTGTATATAGAATCCGAGAGTCCGAGACATTCTTCCCAGACTGCACTCGCTGCTTCCTGTCTGTCAGGTAGTACAGGGATCCACCTGCAGGTGAAACGGGCCAACGTTGAGCTGGGAGAGCTTGTCCTGAGCAGGGATGGCAGTATCGTGGTTGAAGGCAGAGCTAAGTCCCACGAACTAGACCCTGGCGTAGGTCCCCAGGGGAGGTCCAAGTGCAGTAGAGATGTGTTGAGGGCCAGTTGATGGCGTTGTCTACAGATCTGTTGGCTCTGTAGTCGAGAACTGCAGGGGTCAGGAGGGGGAGGGGAGGACATGAGATGGAGAGGACCATCGTTCAAATGACTTCATGACGACAGACGTAGTGCTACAGGTCTGTAGTCATTGAGTCCTGTGATCCTGGCTTCGTCGGGACGGGGGCAATGATGGAGGATTTTGAAGCAGGCCGGGACTTGGCAGGACTGCCGAAGGAGTTGAAAATGTCAGTGAACACAGGAGTTAGTTCACTCGCGGCAGTGTCCAGAGTGGCTGGAGACGACTTGGGTCCGGGCCAGGAGCTTTGCGGGGGTGCAGCCACAAGAAGAGTGTTTAATACCTCTGTGCCAGGACTTGGCTGCTTACAGTTTCGTCCCTGAACTGAGATTTAGCTCTTTGTATCCGCTGCGGTCCCCTCCCTGAAAGGAGCCGACAAGACATGGCATCCATGCCACCTTACAGGGCACCTTAGCAGTGCTATTCGGCCCAGGGACATAGGCTCTCCACCGGCTGTCCGGGGGCTTAGCACGGTGGGTGGAGGATCCTTCCTCTGGCCATGTTATACCTGCATGCTGACACGCCCCTGCTAAATGATAGGCATGAGAAGAAGGTAAGAACGCCTACCGCAATGATTGCGCATACTGACGATGTAACTGAACTTGAAACGGCTTGAATAGTTCCAAAAAGTTGACATGACACAACTGTGTTCCTCTTCCAACGCTTCGGCATCAGAACAATAGTTTTGATCAGATGTTTTTTCAGACCGTAACCGTAATCTTTTGCTTGTAATGGTTGATGTTATACTAGGACATAAAGCCATCACTTGAATCACCAGGCCGAAAGGAGTGGGAGCTCAGGACAACGCCAAACGGCGACGCATTTTGGGCTTTGGTACACCCAGGTTCCCCAGCATAAAGACGTTGCCCTAAACCCGTTACCAGTGATCCAACGATTTTTCTGGCGGTCAGACTCTATTAAAACTCAGCAGCCACTAGCTTTCTTGGACAAACCCCCTGGTACTCAGTGACCCTCCCTCGCTAAGCACATCAACCAAGCAGATACCTCCCTCCCAGCCCTTGACCTATCTCATACAGTAAGTATAAGAGATCGGTAACGCCATCCGCTTGGGAGTTCTTCTACAACTAAGTTGATTTCACGACCTAAAGAAAACAAATGAGAGTTCAAGTTGTTTCCCCTCCCAACTGAACCAAATTCCGGTCTCCCAAAACCAGGAGATGAACTGGAGACATTCCTGCAACCACCGATTTAGCTGTAACAGACAGCAAGGCTACACAACATGATGCACTTGCTTTGACAACAGTCAGTAAATCTGTAATGATATGTGGACATTTATTTAGACTCCCATGAAAAAGAGGTCCGTATGCTCAATGGGACTTTCCTGTTAAATAAAGTAAAAAAAATAATATATATATATATATAATAAGTATAATATATGTATAAATATTAGGCTGTCCAAATCAATCGCGTTATCACGGTTAATAACCGTTTTCATTAACGCTAAAAAAATAAATTAACGCATTAACTGCCATTGACGTGTCAACTCTTGTTGGTTGTACCCAAAAGAAGAAAGGTTGTGAGCATGTCAAACAGACTTATTAGCAGAGGCTCGGGAAGACCTGCGCACAGAAAACAGGGAACTCAAGAGCCATGGAGAGTCCAGGAACAAAATTCAAGCATGTATTGGACACGGAAAACCAATAGTGAGGCGCCACACAGACGGTTTCGCTCAAAAGGTGAGATTTTAACTTATTTGTTTTAAATGTCATATATATGCCAGACAATGATAGGGAGCACTATAGGAAGACATATTTAGGCAGTGTATAGAGTAAAAAAAGTTGATTGGTGTTTAGTTACTCGTTAAGTATAATTTTTGGTATGAATAAAAATAGTCTTACAATGTGAAAATCCTCATTTAACTTACAATTGAGTGGATTTGAATAGAATTTAAAAATGCGATTAATCGTGGAGTTAAACTTCACTTTACTATGCGATAATCAACTACAAAAAAATAATACGTTGACAGCCAATATATATAATATGATATATATATATATATATAATATAAAATATGGAAATATATAAACTTTATTTTTATATCATTTTGGCATACCACTCCAGATGGAGCCCCGCGAACCAGAGATTTACGCGTTACCACACTTTGAGTAAACACTGAAACTACGTCAATACAGACAACAGACTGACATAAACAGTACAGACCAAAGGTTGGATGCTTTGACATTCAATGAGTTGTAGATTCACTACTCAGCCTGTGTTAAGGGCAAGTTGACCAGGCCTCCACATTCACCAACTGTGGAGGCCATCCAGATGGTTTTGTGAGATTGGACACAAGTGCAGGTGAAAGGCCAACAAATGCTAAGCATCTCAGGGATTCGCCTTCAAGACTGTTGAATACCTTTTCAAACACTACCTCTTGAAGCTCATCAAGAGAATGCCAATGAGTGTGCGCAGCCAGTACAGAGCAAAAGGTGCTACTTTGAAGAACTTAGAATATAAGCACATATTTTCATTGTTTCATACTTTTTTACTATAAGTACATACATAATTCCACATGAGTAATTCATCAGTGTTGATGCCTCAGTGGGCATACTACAATTTTCATATAGTGAAAAATAATGAAAAATATGAAAATAACAACAAAGCTTTGAATGAGAAAGATGTGTCAAAACTTTTTTATACACGTTGTCAAATGGGCTTTCATTAGTACTTCTCACATCGTCACTGGTAAGAGACGTAATATTTATACACTTCGAGAACTATACCACCATTATCACAGCTACTACAAAGTCTTTAAGCATAGAGCTTAAAACATACGTGTAAAACAAACTTAAAATTTTGTATTTTTCTATTTTTTTTTTCATTTTTTAGTGTGTGTATGTAATGGTAACATCTCTGTATTGCAATCCCTCTTTCAAGTTTAATTTGTACCAACACATTGATTAAACATTGTAATTCTATAAAAAGTGTTGTGAGACACCGTCCCTATTCCGAACAACACAACACAGACAACAAGCAGCAATCCAACAACAAATCATTGTCACATTTAATTGAGAAGTAAATGATAATTCTTTTTTTTAAAAACTCTTGATATGTGCTTTCTAAATAATTTCCCTCAGGTTACCAAACGGAGGTGCCAAAGTTTCCCCAGAGCCACTCACACCAAGCCAGAAAGTCCCACTACTCTAAAACCCTCACAAACCAGGCCATGCCGCCCAGCCTGTGCTCCCAAAGCTGGGCACCCAAAGGAGAACCGCCCAACCACACCCAGCATCAGCACAAGCATCAGAAACATGGACTTTTATGATCCGTCCCGACCAGGGCATGTCAGGGCGTGAGCACTGATTCCACGAGAGCACCAGCCGACATGTCCCAGAAGTGAAGCAAGACTGACACATGATGTGGTTATGTCGATGGTCTAAGAAATCCAATGATTGATGAACTCAAGATTACTGTGGATTTTTTTGTATTCAAAGTCTAACAAGAATCCCAAAAAAAAAAGTGATCCTAATAAAATAAAAAACTAAAAGATCCAAACTTTGAAACCACAACAAATTTAATAAATCCATAGTATTGTTTCTCTCTCTCAAAACTCTTTAATTCCATTGATAGTTTATCACATGTAAGTATTTGGCCTCATCACACCTTTAACTTAAGCTTTTCAGTGAAAAAAAAGAGACTCCTCTAAGCAATCAGCTCCTCGTATGTAAAAGACAGCATTGTTTTCTATAATGAAGAAAGTCATTTTGTTTCCTGATTGTTCACGAAAAATGTTACTTATACAAGACATGATTGGAACCTATTAATAAAGGTTTTGGGGGCAAAAGAAAGAAATAGAGACAACACCAAATAAATATTTGCCTTTAGTTTTGTGTGGCAGAAAGCCAGGAGGAAGCGCAGCATCATCAGAGGCCTCCTCCAGCCCCGCAAACCCCAGCCTCGCCCCTGTGGCACCCGCGCTGGCAGAGCTCTGTACCATACATTGGTCAGGACACCGATGATATCTGAGCTTCGAGAGTCAATGACGTACTTTGGAACTGGCTCAAAGAAGTACTAAGGTTTGACTACCATGGATTGAAATCATTTTTCATTAAAGTGGTTCTTCCACAATCTCGCGTCCTCGAGCTTACATCACTCCACATTTCCTGTTTCAAAATCTTCCTCTAAAGGGCCGATAGCCTGGAGGACTAAAGGGGCGTGAACGAGACTGGGCCGTTTAACATTGTGCTCTTGGCGGGGCGGCTGACGTCTGGTCCCACTTCTGGCCAGTGTTGGGGGGCGCCAGATTCAAAATTCAAAATGTAGTAAATACAGGTCCGCCTCAGATGGCGCCTCCACAGACGGTTTTAGGCAGAAGTGCTGACCCTTATCTCGCTCAACAACACAACGATCAGAAGAGAAAGGATAACAACATAAACAATAAACAGAAAAACAACAAAGACCAGAAGAAAAAAGCCAAACACACAGAAAGCAAACCAAAGGCAAAAAGTAAAAAACAACACATAAAACAGCAAAGACACATTAAGCGGGAAAAAAAAATCAACTTCTAGTCCCACCACACTGTGCTGCCCAAGACCCAGCCACAAGAAGCCTCACTCCCAACACAAACGCTTAAGCAAAGGAGAGGATGAAAGAGAGAGAGAGTCAACTTCTGCCTAAAACCGTTCTGTGAGGCGCCATCAGCTGGCGACCTTAATCCTACATATGAATTTTGAATCTGGCGCCAACACTGGCACAGAAGTTGGACCTTACTTCAGCCGCCCCCGCCCAGAGCCATGTCAAACGGCCCAGTCTCGTTCACGCCCCCTTTAGTCCCCCAGCTACGCCATTTAAGGAAGATTTGAACAGGAAATGGTTAGTGACGTAAAGCTCCGCGAGCGGGGGTAGAACCACTTAAATGAAAATGATTTCAATCCAGGGTAGTACAAACCCTTACTTACCTTCTTTGAGCAGTTTCAAAGACGTCATTGACTTCGAAGCGGATCTCACGTTGTCCGACCAATGTAGCTGGTACAGAAGCCTCTGCAGCGCGTGCCACAGGGGGAGGCTGGGGTTTGGGGGGGAAGGCGGCCTCTGGCTGGATGCTGCGCTTCCTCTGCTTTCTGCCACACAAACCATAAAGCAACATATTTAATTGGTTTGTCTCTTTTCTTCTTTGCCCCAAAACCTTTATTAATAGGTCCAATCATACTTGTTTAAGTAGACAAATTGTGAACAAATAAGAACACAACATGCGCTTCATCTAAAGAAAACAATGCTGTCTTTTACTTACTGAGAGCTGATTGGCTTAGAAGTACTCTCTTTTTTCACTGAACAAGCTTAAGTTAAAGGTGTGAAAGAGCCAAAAATACTACATGTGGAAAACTATCAATGGAAGTAAAGAGTTATGAGAGAGAGAAAAAAAAATAACTATGGATTTATTAAATTTTTGTGTTTCCAAATTAGGATATGTTTTAGTTTATTATGTATTAGGATCACGTTTATTTGGGATTCTTGTTAGACTTTAGAATACAAAAAATCCAACAATAACTCGTTGATCAGTCCCACGCATTGTACTAGTCCATACACATAAACCACATCATTGTCAGTCCCTGCTTCCCACTTTGGGACATGTCCCGCAGGTGCGCTGTGACCCTCAAGTGCTTCACCCTGGACATGCCCTGGACCGGACGTTCATAAAGTCCATGTAGTGCTGTGCTGCTGCTGATGCTGGGTGTGGTGGGCGTTTCTCCTTGGGTGCCCATCTTTTGGGAGCACATGCTGGTGGGATGGCCTTGTCTGTGAGGGTAGAGGTAAGTGATGCGTTTCTTGCTGATGTGATTGGTAACACTGGAAACATGGCACCTCCGTTCTGGTAACCTGGGAAAATATTTAGAAAGAATATATAAACGAGATTTAAAACAAGACTTATAATTTACTTCTCCAAATAAAATGTGAAAATGATTTATGTAAGCTTGGATGCTGCTTGTTGTCTGTGTTGTGTTGGTTCGGATAGGGGACGGTGTCTCACAACTACTTTATTATAGAGTACAATGTTTTAATCAATGTGTTTGGACATATTAAACTTTTGAAGAGATTGCATACAGGAGATGGGACATACATACACACCACTAAAAAATGAAAAAAAAAAAAATATAAAAAATACAAGCATTTTAAGTATTTTTTTTACAAGTATTTTAAGCTATAATGCTTAAAGACTATGGTAGTAGCTGAGATAATGGTGGGTAGTTCTAGAATGTATAACATATGACTTCTCCTCTTCCCGCTAAGGTGAGAAGTAATAATGAACGCCATTTTTCACCTGTAAAAAAAAGTTTGGACACCCTTCTCATTCAAAGATTTTTTTAATTTCATATTTTCATTATTTACACTATGAAAATTGTCGATATCACACTAGATAGGCATCAACACTATGATTAACTCATGGGACTTATGATGTACATAAGTAATAAAGGATTAAACAACGAAAAGAGGTCCTTATATTCTAAGTTCTTCAAAGTAGCACCTTTTGCTTCTGATTACTGCGTCGCACACTCTTGCATTCTCTGTTGTGCTTCAAGAGGTATGATTGAAAAGGTATTCCAACAGTCTTGGAAGGAGATCCCTGAGATGCTTAGCATTTGGTGGCCGTCACCTTTCACTCTGTGGTCCAACTCATCACAAAACCACTGGATTGGCCTCCACAGTCGGTGACTGTGGAGGGCCTGGTCAACTAGCCCTTACACAGGCTGGAGAGTGAATCTACAACTCATTGAATGACAAAGCATCAAACTTTTGGTCTGTACTGTATTTGGTCCAGTCCTGACTGTCCTGTAATTGACGTCAGTTCAGGGATTCTCAAGTGTGGTAAGCGTAAATCACTGGGTACCTGGGCTCCCTCTAGTGATGCAAACATGAAAACAAAAAATAAATGATATAGAATATCATATATATATCATATATATATATATAAATTATAATTAGGGCAGTCACAAAAAAAAAACGATTATTTTTAGTTGATTAATCGCTCAAAGTAATGGTGATAACCTCACGATTAATCGAGTTTTAACATTCTATTTCAAATCCCTCTCAATTGAATTTAAATGAGATTTCAAATGTAATGACACATTTTTATTCATACAAATTACTATAAAGAGTACTAAACACCAAATCAACTTTTTTACTATACACTGCCTAAATAAGTTTTCCTATAGTGCCCCTACATGTCCTGGCCATATATTTGACATTTTAATCTCAAATTAGTTAAAAACTCACTTTTAGCCTAAACCGTCCGGTGAGGCGCCCTCTCTATGGTTTTCCGTGTCACTACATTAGAATTGTCCTGGACGCTCCATTGGCTCAGAGTTCCCCTAGTTTTCTGTGACGCAAGTCTACCCGAGCCACTGCAATAAGGCTGTTTGACTTCTCACAACCTCTAACTTTTTGGTACAACCAATAAAACAAGAGTTGAGACACGGTCAATGGCAGTTAACTTCGTTAATTATTTTTTTACGCGTTAATGAAAACGGTAATTAACGTTGAATACGCGATAAGTTTGGACAGCCCTAATAATATAATATATATATATATATAGTATACTATATATTATTATTTTTTTTACTTTATTTAACCAGGGGGGGGAGGGAAGGGGGGGGGGGGGGAGGGGGGAGGGGGGGAAAGGGGGGGGGGGGGAAAGTCCCATTGAGATTATGGACCTCTTTTTCAAGGAGTCCTAAATAAAAGTCACATACAATTACAGATTACTGACTGTTGTCAAAGCAAGTGCCCTACCTGTTGTGTATCCTTTGCTTTCTGTTACAGCAACATCGTGTGCAGGAATTGTCACATTTCATCTCCGGTTTGGGAGACCGAAGTGTTCAGTTGGACGGGGACAAACTTGAACTCTCATTTGTTTCTTAGTCGTGAAATAACTTATTGAAAAGCCCTCCCAAGCGAGTTACGATCTCTATACTTACTGTATAGAGATAGGTAAGGGCTGGGAAGGAGGTCTGCCTTGGTTGATGTTGCTGCGTGGGAGGTCACTTGAAGTACCAGGTGTTGTCAAGCAAGCTAGTGCTGCTGAGTTTAAAGAGTCTGAACCGCCCCCCTGAAAAAATCGTTTGGATCACGGTAACGGGTTTAGGCAACGTGCCTTTATGCAGGGGAAACTGGGTGTAACCAAAGCCAAATTGAGTCGCCATTGGGCAGTTGTCCTGAGCTCCACTCCTTTCAAGCCTGGTGATCAAGTGATGGCTTATGTCCAATTATAACATCAACATTACCAGCACAATATTACGGGTACGTGTTCTTAAAAAACATCTGAACAAAACTATTGAGCTTGATGCCGATGCGCAGGAAGAGGACACAGTTGTGTCATGTCAACTTTTTGGAACATTTTCATGTCCATTTCTAGTTCCAGATAAATCGTATGCGCATCCATTGCGTAGGGCGTTCTTCCCTTCTTCCCTCCTTGCCTATCACTTATCAGGTGGCTTGTCCAGCATGCAGGAATAACACTGCAGAGGAATGGGGGGGGATCCTCACCACCCACCCGTGCTAAGGCCCACACCGGGACAGCACGGTGGAGAGCCTATGACCCTGGCGGAAATAGACGTCTTTAAGGTCCCTGGAAGGTGGATGGATGCCATGTCCTTTCGGCTTTCAGGAGGGGGCCCGCAGCGCTACAAAGCAGCTAAATATCCGTTCAGGGACGAACTGAAAGCAGCCAAGTCCCCGGGGGCACAGAGATAGTAAACAAACTCCCTCTGAGGCTGCACCCCCCGCAAAGCTCCTGCCCGGACCAAGGGTCTCCAGCTACACACCTCTGAGACACTGCGCGAGTGAGCTAACTCCTGTGTTCACTGACATTTTCAACTCCCTCTCTGCATTCCTGCCATGTCCCCCGGCCTGCTTTCACTCACACCTCAATCATTGCCCCCGTGCCCAGAAAAGCCCCAGGATCACAGACTCAACTGACTACAGACTGTTAGCACATACTTCTGTCGTCATAAGTCATTTGGAACGCCTGGGGTCATCTCCCATCTCAAGTCCCTCACCTCCACCCCTCCTGGACCCCTTCATTCGCCTACAGAGCAACAGATCTGGAACATCTCATCACCCTGGCCCCACCACATCCTACAGCCTTGGCCCTCCCCGGGGACCGACGCCAGGTCCTGTTCGTGGACTTAAATCGGGTCTCTGCCTCTCAACACGATACCTGCCATCCCTGCTCCAGGCCAAGCTCTCCCAGCTCAACGTGCCCGGTTCACTCGAGGGGGATCACTGACTTCCTGACAGACAGGAATCAGCGAGTGCGTCAAGGATTGAATGTCTCGACTCTCGATCTATAAATACAGAGAGCCCCACAGGGCTGTGTGCTTTCCTCCCCTGCTCTTTTCCCAGTACACACCCACTGCACCTCCAGCCAGCGACTCTGTGACTGCTTCAAGTTCCAGTGGATGACACCTCCCTCATTGCCTCATCTCCAATAACGATGAGTTCCGCTACAGGAGGGAGGTGGACCGGCTGGTGTCCTGGTGCAGTGGTAACAACCTGGAGCTGAACGCCCAGGAAGACAGTGGAGATGATTGTGTGACTCAGGCTGAGCACTGTCCCCAGCCCCCCCTTCCTGATGGACTCTCCCTTCCGTTTCCTGGGCCCCACCATTCACCAGGACCTCAAGTGGGAGCATGACCATCACTCCCTCAGCAAGAAAGGCCCAGCAGAGGATGTACTTCCTGCAGCAGCCTCAGAAAGCCAGCTGCCTGCCAGATGTTTGGAGCAGTTCTACACGGCCATCATCGAGTCCAACCTCACCTCCTCCGTCCCGGGTGTGGTTTCTCTGGATCCACAGTCAGGGACAAACAAGACTACAGCGCATTGTCGGCTCTGCAGAGGAAGTGATTGGCCGAAGCATTCCATCGCTGCAGGAACCTGATACGTGGCCGCCGACTCGAAGTCCGGCGTCGTATCACAGGCCCCCGACCCTCCTCACCCTGCACTGGACTATTCCAACCACTCCCCTTTGGCAAGACTGGCGGTCCATCATGACTATAACCTCCCCGTCCACAAGAACAGTTCTCCCCTCATGCTTGTTGGACTCTTGAACACTCTTAACCTGTCCCCCGCCCTTTATAAAAGTCACTTTACTGCCGCATCATACCACTTACTTCACTGTACTGCTGTCACCTACATTGGTGCACCTAGTGCACTTGTATATTGTAAATAGTAACGTTAACTCTATTCTAATGTAAATGTATTCCTTAGAAGTGTTTTTTATTCTTTAAGTTTTAGTTTTTTATTATTTTCTCTATGAATGTTTGCACTGAGCCAAGCAATTCCAGTCTGTGACATCCTGTTACTTACTGGCAATAAAATAGGATACTGATTCAGAGAATTTAGAATGCAATAGAATGCCCGTACGCGGGGGTTCCTGAACATAGCCGGTGTCTCTTCCCTTCTGTTATGTTACGGCCTAGAGCCGGGTCTAACAATATACAAAAGTTATTTTCCCATTCTGTGCGGGCAAAGGGAACAGAGAACAACAAAATCATTTGATTCGCAAACATAAGAACCAACATCTCTTTGGTTGAGTAAATGGCAGAAGTACTGTAAGAGGCCCATCAGACCCAAGCCCTAATAAACAAAAGTGCACCCGGGTCCAAACCCTCTGGTGGAC